TTTTTTTATAGTGTTGTATCCACACGTCTTGTTCATTTTTGCATCTGGCCTCGTTGTCGGAATGTAAGTACTTATCACTTACTCGAGCTTTTATTAAAACCCATTGTAAGTTCTTCGATCAACGTAACAACTGTTTGACATCATTAAGTCAATGTAATCTTAATAAGCAATTTTACCACAGAAACTTTCATTTGCTTCAGCTGTTCATTTGTCCGCAAGAGCTATTTCTGATAAAGAAGATTAACAAACTTTACTCGTCACATTTCCATGCATCTCAAAGAAAATCCAATTTTCTTTAAAAATCTAAAAAGGCTTCGTCCATCTTGACGGTCATGACGTCACGTCTCGTATATCATAATAGAATTGTAACACAGGTAGCCCAGCTTGTGGAAAGAAGTAGGACATGGCTTGTATGGGTGCTAAATCTTTGTATTTTTTTTGTAGGTTATCACAGACTCTGTGATCCATTGGCCTTGAAAAACCTGAAGTTTCCAGCAATAAAAATTAACGTTATTTCAGTTTTCCAGGAGTAAAGACATAGAAAAATTATAATTGTATTTCACGGAAGTTTAATAGATGCAAGCCAAGGGATTTTATAAACAATCTTTGGAGTGAAAATTTTTCTGTAGAAAACTGAGATACCACGACTGATAGGGATGGAAATCGAGTGTAGATGGAGATAGTGCAATCAAATCTTTTTATCGATGTATAAATACTTCAAAACGACGATGGTAAGAAATGTTCACACTATCTTCTCGATCAAATGCGACTATAGAGCGTGGACACAGTGGAAAAATGAGTGCGCATGCTTGTAACTCGCGAGAAATTTACGCGTGCGAAGGAATGGGAACGACAATATTTCCATAGTAACACTATCGAGGCAAAATGGCAGCATTTTTCAAAATTCTCATTGTTTGTTTTCAATTCGTGGGGGATAAACCCAAATCAAAACAGATAAGGTTGCTGTTTTCAGGAAAGCTGTTGTCAAACCTCACATGTCTTACTCAAAGAAAAAAGGTTTTCGGCAACAGGTGTGAATTTAGTGACTGAAGTTGAGCAGCCATAACATGGCTAAGAATTTCGTAGCGCCGCCTGTTATCGCTGTAGCGCTTCTGGCCATCTCCTTCAGTAGGCAAACCCCCCGGAGAAAAAGTTTGTTGTCTCGGCTGAAAAACCCGCGTCAGCTTATGTTTGCAACACAAGAACCGTTACCCCTAAAACCTCAAATAATTCGAGTAGCAGAGCATGCACACTCATTTTGCCGCTGTGTTCTGTTGTGTCTACAGTGAGTATCATGAGCTGCTCGTGCGCAGTTCAGCTACCTTTGAAGCTAGCTATTCAGCTCCTTTTAAAGTTTTATTGAAAGGTTCAACTTTGTAAAGAAATATGTTTGTATAGCCAGGGAGTGTATCAATTTATCATTAAAAGTGTATAAAGGGGAGAAGTTTTTGGAATCCTTGCTTATAAGTCTAGTGATATGAGCACTCGACTTCCTTAAATTTAGGAAGAGATTTGACAGGAGAACCCACGACGAGGAGGATTAAAACAGCCCCCTTCAGAAGCGTCCCCTGAAGGCCCTGCTAAGCTGTCGTTGTTGAGATCCTCCATACTAGTAGTACTAGAGCTTCTTTTTAATTGACTATGCGCTTTTTCTTTTTTGCCAAACTGAACAGAACTCCTTAAACTTCCTATCTCCTGAGGATTACCGCTCCTGGCACGCTTGCGCAGTGTAGGAAACTTCAATTCAGAAAAATAAAGTCTCGGAGAAGAGTCTGACTCGTAATTATTTGAGTTTCTAGCAGCTGAGACGAGTTTAAACTGTGGCGCTTATTTGAGGCATCGTCTACCATGCACTGAGCCAAGCTTAATAAGTTACTGCCGCCGGAGTTCCTGACCAAAATAGTTCGTGTAAGAACACTTGGAGTGCTGGGTAAACCACTGGTCTTCGCGGTGTTGGTAATCGGCTCAGGTATTGTCAAACCTATGCATCTCCGAAACACGCACATGACTAAAATATAAAACACTTTCTTTTATTTCTTCTGCCAAGCTTTCATGCATTGGTTTATCAGTTAGTCACTTCATTTCCGATTCGAATGCGTTGAAAATTTCGATTTTTTCGCAGTCACTCCGAAACCCTCTAAACACCAGCAAAAATAGAAGAAAAAAATTTTAAAAAAATGCCTGGAAATAGTTCACACACGTACTCAGAGGAGTAAGTAGTTTCTCTCTGGATATCGCTCTGTAAATATTCCAGCCTCTGATTGGTTTGAAATTTCTGTTTCTCGTTACCTTAGCGACAATAAGACTACTAGTCATCAGCCCAATTACTGTTTTGTTTTGCGACAGTTTCAGGGTATTTTACCCAACACTGAAGGCTTTTCTGATCTCGACGACACTCACTTTATAGAGCCGGTTGATCGCAAAAACGTTCATATGGAGATGAAGGTATGTATCTTCAGTTTATCTATTTATTGCTATCATTCATTTGCTGTTTATGGTAAAAGAAAGTTCGCACTGCATCGGTTTGAAATCGAAGTGAATGACCTCACCATCTGTTTTAATAATTTCTCAACGACTTATCAGTATTCGTTAGTTGATTCTGCGACTTNTATTTCTGATAAAGCTTAAGAAACTTTATTCGTTACATTTTCATGCATCTCAAAGAAAATCCAATTTTCTTTAAAAAACCAAGATGGCGTCGTCCATCTTGACGGTCATGACGTTACGTCTCGTATCCCGTAGTTGATAAATCATTTCCCGCTTTGTACCACAGGTAGCCCAGCTTGTGGAAAGGAGTAGGATATGGCTAGTATAGGTGCTAAATCTTTGTATTTTTTTTTGTAGGTTATCACAGACTCTGTGAACCCTCGGCCATAGAAAACTTGAAGTTTCTAGCAAGAAATATAACGTCATTTTAGTTCTCCAGGAGTAAAGCCATAGAAAAATTATACTTTTATTTCACGGAAGTTTAATAGATGCAAACCAAGGGATTTTATAAGCAATTCTTGAAGTGAAAGTTTTTTGTAGAAAAAGTAGACACCACGGCTGATAGGGATGGAAATCGAGTGTAGATAGAGGCAGTATAATCAAATCATTTTATCGATGTATAGATGCTTCAAAACGACGATGTTAAGAAATGTAATTTTTAGTTCACGCTATGTTCTCGATGAAATGCGACTTTAGAGCGACGACACAGTGGCAAAATGAGTGCTCATGCTTGTAACTCGCGAGAAATTTACGCGTGCAAAGGAATGAGAAGGACAATATTTCCATAGTAACACTATCGAGGCAAAATGGAAGCATTTTAAAATTCTCATTGTTCGTTTTCAATTCGTGGGGTATAGGCCCAAATCAAAACAGTTAAAGTTACTGCTTTTCAGAAAAGCTGGTGTCAAACCTCATATCTCTCACACAAAGAGAAAAGGTTTTTGGTAACAGGTGTGAATTTAATGACTGAAGTTAAGCAGCCGTAACATGGCTGAGAATTTCGTAGCGCTTGTTATCGCTGTAGCGCTTCTGGCCATCTCCTTCAGTAGGCAAATCCCCGCAGAAAAAGTTTGTTGTCTCGGCTGAAAAACCCGCGTCAGCTTATGTTTGCAATAGAAGAACCGTTAGCCCTAAAAAGCTCAAATAATTCGAGTCAGGTAGCGGAGCATGCGCACTCATTTTGCTGCTATGTTCTGGTGTGTGTCTACAGTGAGTATCGTAGCGCCTGTTATCGCTTTAGCGCTTCTTGCCACCTCTTTCAGGAGGCAACCCCCCGGAGAAAAAGTTTGTTGTCTCAGCTGAAAAACCCGCTCAGCTTATGTTTGCGATAGAAGAACCGTTAGTCCTAAAAGCTCAAATAATTCGAGTAGCAGAGCATGCGCATTCATTTTACCGCTGTGTTCTGTGGTGTCTACAGTGAGTATCATGAGCTGCCTTTGAAGCTAACTATTAAGCTTATTTTAGAGTTTTGTTGAAAGGTTCAACTTTGTAAAGAAATATGTTTGTATAGCCAGGGAGTGTATGAATTTTTCATTAAAAGTGTTTAAAGAGGAGAAGTTTTTGGAATCCTTGCTTATAAGTCTAGTGATGTGAGCACTCGACTTCCTTAAGTTTAGGAAGAGATTTGACAGGAGAACCCACGACGAAGAAGACTAAAACAGCCCCCTTCAGAAGCGTCCTCTGAAGGCCCTGCTAAGCTGTCGTTGCTGAGGTCCTCCATACTACTGGTACTAGAGCTTCTTTCTAGTTGACTATGCGCTTTTTATTTTTTTGCCAAACTGAACAGAACTCCTTAAATCTCCCATCTCCTGAGGATCACCGCTCCTGGCACGCCTGCGCAGTGTAGGAAACTTCAGTTCAGAAAAATCAAGCCCCGGGGAAGACTCTGACTCGGAATTATTTGAGTTTCTAGCAGCTGAGACGAGTTTAAACTGTGACGCTTATTTGAAGGATCGTCTACCATGCAGGCTGAGCCAAGCTTAATAAGTTACTGCCGCTGGAGTTCCTGAACAAAATAGTTCGTGTAAGAACGCTTGGAGTGCTGGGTAAACCACTGGTCTTCGCGGTGGTGGTAATCGGCGCAGGTATCGCCAAACCTATGCATCTCCGAAACACGCACATGATATAAAATATAAAACACTTTTTTTTATTTCTTCTGCCAAGCTTTCATGCCGTGTAATATCAGTTCTTCACAGTCATTTCAGATTCGACTGCGTTGAAACTTTCGATCTATTCGTAGTAACTCTGAAACCCTCTAAACACTGGCAAAAATAGAAGAAAAAAAATTAAAAAAACAAATGCCTGGAAATAGTTCGCACACGTACTCAGAGGAGCAACTCTGTGGAAATCGTTCTGTAAATATTCCAGCCTCTGATTGGTTTGAAATTTCTGTTCCTCGTTACCTTAGCGACAATAAGGCTAATAGCCATTAGCCTGATTGCTATTTTGTTTTGCGACAGTTTCAGGTCATTTTTCCCAACAGCGAAGGTTTTTCTGATCTCGGCGACACTCACTTTATAAAGCCAGTTGATCGCAAAACCGTTCATATGGAGATAAAGGTATGTATCTTCAGTTTACCTATTTATTCCTATAGTTCATTTGCTGTTCATGGTAAAAGAAAGTTCGCATTCCATGGGTTTGAAATCGAAGTGAATGAATTCACCATTCAACGACTTATCAGTATTCGTTATTTGATTCTGCGGCTTTGTAAGTTTTCACACCTATGTACATTTTCGCGCAGCAAAACAAAGAATTTCCTATGTTGAATCATACGGTGTCTATGTTAAAAAAAGTGAACACTTTCAGTGAAGCATCTTAAGAGAGGCCGCCAGTATATTTCGAAAATCAGTGACGAAAAATCGAATTTTTTTTTATTTTGCCAAAACATCCCTTTCTGTGAACTAGTTTGGAAAAAAATATTTTAAAGTTCCAGCGATTTTCTTTCCGGCTGAAATTTAAAAAAGTTTGAAAATTCACTAAAAAAGCCGTTTTCGCCTTGCCTAAACGGTAAAATCGTCACGCAACTTTAGAAAGATGTTGGTAGCGCCAAACAAGTCCATTCACCATCAAACTTTGCACAGTAATTATAATATCACTGCACAGTAAAAGCATATAAAAAGTTTCGCGTAGTTCTCTTTGGGATGGGTTTTATCGCCTTTTTTATAAATGTGTATTTTGCACGTCTTTTTAGGAGACAAAATGAAGGCTAACTTTGACCGGTTTAAACGACACCTGGTACCTAAAATTTCGACATTAAAACAATATCAGACGAGAGCTCATTTATCAAACTATACACCTGGAAAGTTTAGCCGTTGGAAATTAAGTCTCGCGAATCTAATGACTGAAGTTGAGCAGCCATAACATGGCTAAGAAGTTCGTAGCGCCGCCTTTTATCGCTATTGCGCTTCTGGCCATCTCCTTCAGTAGGCAAACCCCCGGAGAAAAAGTTTGTTGTCTTAGCTGAAAAACCCGTGTCAGCTTATGTTTGCAATAGAAAAACCGTTAGCCCTAAAAAGTTCAAATAATTTGAGTAGTGGGGCCTGAGCACTCATTTTTCAGCTGTGTTCTGTTGTGTCTACAGTGAGTATCATGAGCTACCTTTCAAGCTACCTATTGAGCTTATTTTAGAGTTTTGTTGAAAGGTTCAACTTTATAAAGAAACATGTCTCTATAGCCAGAGAGTGTATCAATTTATCACTAACAGTGTATAATAGGAGAAGTTTTTGGAATCCTTGCTTACAAGTCTAGTTTACTTTAGTTTGTTAAGGTTCGCCAACATACAACACAAAAATATCTATAAAAAGGTACAACAAAGGCAGGAGAAAAAAAACAGGGCACGCCCCAATTGGCATTTGTTCCTTTAACAAATTACAACAATAAAATCACAATATTCATAAACAACATTTAAAAACAAATGAAAGTCAGATTGGAAGCTAGGGCGGAATGTACTTGTCCATTTTGTCTATATGGTGAGGTAGAAGAGAGTGTTTGAAGGTTTTGATAGTTTAACTAATATTTCATCATTTAAACAATAATTTTGCTGTTCTCGGCGGCGAGATCTTTTCTTGGACATATATATGTAGCACTTTGCATTTGTTAGCACTGAATACCATGCCATTATATTGTCGTCGCACCATCTTTTGAAACAATCTAAATCAGCTTAAAGTAGTGTGGTGAAGTCTGCAGTGTGGATAGGGCGGTACAACTTTCCGTCACCAGCAGAGACCTAGACTGGATCCGTTGGTTATGCAGTCCGCCAGGTCGTTGATGAAGACCAGGAAGAGTAGAGGGCCCAAGATAGAACCCAAGGTGACCGGGCGCCACTCTGAAAAAGCACCATCAAGGGAAACTCGCTACTTTCGGTCTGACAGGTAACTTGTGAACCATTGAAGTACAGAGCCCCGGCCAGAGCTCCTCTGCATTTTCAAACCTATGTATCTCTGTAACACGCACATGACTAAAATATAGAACACATTTTTTATTTCTTCTACCAAGCTTTCATACCGTGGTTTATTGGTTCTTCACTTATTTTCAGATTCGACTACGTTAAAAATTTCGATCTATTCGTAGTCACTCTGAAACCCTCTAAACACCGGCCGCGAGAAATAGAAAATAAAAAAGGTCTGGAAATAGTTCGCACACGTACTCAGAGGAGCACTCTGGAAATCGTTCTGTAAATATTTCAGCCTCTGATTGGTTCAAATTTCTGTT